GTGAGGTGTGAGCTTATCTTTCAGATTTTGGACATTTCTCGTGCATTCCTGATGGTACGTCAGAAACGCTAAGGCGGAAGAGGCGCTTGGTGGGGTAGTGTACAATCAACAAGCTTCGAACCACTTTCAGCCCTTTGAAAACGAAAACGTCGGCCAGAATAAATATTTCCACCTACAAACCCCGAGGCAGAAGCAAAAACTAACGATTTCAAGAATAATTTCCGTCAGTTCTTCTCGTGTAAACTTGATGCGCTCTGTTTGTGAATTCAACCTTCTCACCTCACTGGTGATGATCTTTGATGTTGAAGTCAACACAAATGTCAGAAATGGATCTGCTATGGAAGCCATAGTTGAGCTTCTTGGTTAGCAACAAAACGATATAGATATGCGAGGGCTGTCAATATCACAACTGGCTTCGGCTTCCTTTCTTAAACGTAAAGTAGGTTACAGGACGATATGATTTTTACGAATTGGTACGGAAAGCCCAGCAATAAACATATCATTGTCTATTATCACTCAATTCATCCTTTTTACATAAAACGAGCGGTTGTTAGGAGTAAGTTCACTGCTAAGAAGGTTTGCATTGGGGAGGGTTAGCGAAAGAGTGGATTAAAATGGCATGCAACATTGCTCAGATGAATGGCTACTGCAACTTTTCGACTACTCGAAGAGCTTCTCCTGACGGGGTGATCCTCAGACATGGTAGTACCTCGATTGATGGGAAAATTCCTTCTGTTCTATCATTTATCTCTGATGAGGTCAGTGCCACTAATAGGAAGTGCCTGAGGGAATCGGGCCTGGAAAATGCGGTTGCTACTGTGGGTTGCTCCCATTACTTGCCACCCTTCAATCTATAGACGGGCCGGGTTCGGAACAGGCTATACGATCGCAACTATTGGACTTGAACTGGCAATTGGAGTTGGAACGAAGTGACATTTCTGCGTAAAATTGATATCACAACGAAGCTTCTGCTTGGCAAAGCGCCCCACCGACAGCATTGATAAGTCCTGCTCCTTCGCCATCTTTCCGATGGGTCACACAGTGTCACGATTGACTAGCGAACGAACCATTTCAGGAGTCCTTTCTTTGGAAACACTGGCATTCCTACCCCTTCCTGGTTGGTTTTCGAAAATCTGGAATCTTCTTTTCAGTACCGTTTAATACCTTTCTGTAAGGATATTATAGGAATCACAAGAAATTTTACAAAGCCCTTCCGCCTCTTGCGTGCTAATATGTGCATGTGGCACTGAAGCCTCTGCCTGCTTGAAGATATTGAGAATTTCACTTCAAAACCATGCATATTACGAGAAACCTTCTTATTCAACTTAATAGTACGGGTATAGTAGCACGGGTGAAGTGAATTCGATTAATTACTTCTATCTTAGAGGTTTTTGGATTTTGACGCCTTTAATTTTGGGACACTCTACTCTGTACAACCTCAAACAGTGTGGTCTGCCCAGCTGGCAAGGAGGGTGATCATACCATGTCTGGGATGGTCTACGAGACTACTTGCCGTGATTGTGGGAGGGGGTGATGAGAATATTGGCGAAGTGGCAAGACCACTCCACGTGAGGATTAAGGAGCACATAGATGGTATGAAGCAATTGAAAGAGCCCACTGCCTTGGGAAGTCACCGAATTCAAAAGCACAACGAAAGCGTTTTTGAAGTCGCCGTAGAGGTCGTGGCACAGAACTCCCCTCGAGGTATTTTGGATACAAGCCACCGATCCAAAAATGAATAGTAGGAAAGAATGCTTCGCAATCACGCGGGGTCTGCGGCCTTACCCAAGCTGACACTTGTCGATTGTTATCATCGGCTGCTGGTTGGTTTCGAAGGAGCCACAAAGCTGCGGTTTGAATGGTTCTCCATTAATCATCTGCGTGCCCTGAGGGTCTCGAAGTTGAGTATGCCAGTGAAGACCTTTGAGCAGATAGTCACAAATTCCTATCTTTCCATGTTCTGAAAAAGGCGACTCCACCGAAACGTCAGCCTAATGAAGCTTGTATACAAACCTCGTGAAGAGTTCAAGAGAACAACTCAACAGGAAGTATTCCACACCGAAAATGACAGTACAGGTCTAAGAGAACGTTTGAGATTAGTCTATCACCGTTACAGAGATCTTACGTGCACTAGAAGGGGTAAAGCAACAGCAAATTACAAGTACCAGCTAACTTATATAGTGTAAAAACGGCTGGCAACGTGGAAGACATAAAAAGATCGTGAGAACGAGACCAACCTTTTCAAAATGCTGTATGCATTATCAATAAGATAGCTATCGTAGAGCGCGTCCGCCTCTCGAACAATGATGTCAAAATTTGCTGGTTTAGATTCATCCACTTGGGGATGAGATGAAGACGAGAAAAATGACAACGCTAACGACGATGTGAAACCGGCAGTCAAGATGCGACGTGGGGCTGGTCCGACGTATCTCTGCAAAAGGCTAACTATTTAAACAATCTTTTGATTAGTCACACCAAAATTCCCACTACTAATATCGTGAAGATAAGGCTGGGACTCAAAACTCAGAAAGATGAAGCACGCTGTTCCATGCGACCGGTGACGATATTTTTTCTGTGATTGGAAGAAATGCGACACATCCTTGACCTATGGATTGTTGCCGTAAACCGAAAGCTAAATTCATAAGGGTTAATAAGGACAGAAGTTTCCGGGCGAATCGACCCCATTCCAAGATGCTCCCCGCGCTCCAGCTCCGCTCCTGACCGTAGACGTGTTTAAAGGCACATTCGGCCTATGCAATTAACTGCATTGGCCGACCAATGTGAAAGTCAAGCCTTTTCATCTCCTAAGCGAGTATGCTACCAAATGAGCGATTTCGCAGTGATGGAAGATTTCAATGGCAATATTTATCCAGTAACATCAAAGGTAAGTGATTGAACTCAGCTGGCTATTTCGATTCGAAGCATCTAACAAATTTACTAAATACACAGATAGAACCTTCCTCATCTTTTTCTCCAACCGTTTCTTGTCTGGACTTTTTGGAGCGAGATTACGACCCACTTCAAATATTACGTTGTTCGGGAAGAAATGCGCGTTGAATTTGTCCATTTATCCCCCTCCTCTTATACATGATTTTGCAAAATAGTTTTGTCTATTAGAGAGAGATTTTTATTGCGCATCTGCTGATATATTTTTGTATATGTCAACTGTATTTTTTGGAAGAAAAGAAGTTTAGGAAATGCTTGACCAAAAATTCCTTTTGCGAGCTTGCATGTGGTGACTTCAAGCAGGGCAGACGGCTGCTGAAACTCATCATCTGAGGTATTTGGCGAAGAAGCCCTGCCAGAAAGCCAGTGCCGACGATAGTCCAAAAACGGTAACGAAAGTCAGAGGACGAAGAACATGGAAGTCGGCCTCAAGTCGTCGATAACCAAGTGTTAAAACCCGTCATTGAATTCAATCCACGCCGAACCACTTGAGAACTGGCAAAACATTTTGGCTGCCCAAACTCTACCACCCATGAACATGTGCTGGCCATTGGCAAGACCAACAGGTACGGAAAATGGGTATCGCGCCGTCGCGTCAAGGGTCGGATCGCGGGTATGGATCGCGAAAACCATTTTGGAAAAAGCTGAGGAATAGGGGCGGGGAAGTCCCGCCTCAACCGCCATACAGCCCATACGTGGCACCATCCGATTACCATCTGTTCCGGTCGATACAGCACTCTCTGGCCGAAAAAAAGCTCAAAAACCGCGAAGAAGTCCAACTTTGGATGTCCAACTACTTTGAGTCGCAGCCGGCCGAGTTCTTCGGGGCACGTACCCATTCTTTGCGTAAACGTTGGCAAGAATTCATTTATAGAATTGCAGGTTATCTTTTTGAATTGATCTTGTTTAGTTTCGTTTTTATAATAAAAAAATTTTAAGCTCAAACGCGCATTTCTTTCCGAGCAACCTAATATTTGACCACATTTCTTCTATTACCTCTTACCACTTTTTCCCCACGTTCTAGAACGTTGTAAACAGAGTTGTAACTTTATGTGTAAGACCGCCTATCTTGGCGTATGCCCCGCCCACTTTAGAGATTTGTCTGCACTTCTTCTATTCCCTCTAGACACTTTCGCCCACGTTCCGGACGTTTTTGATTATAGTTATGTGAATATATTTTTAAAAAGTAGGTTCCATTAAACGAACGTCCCGCCCATCGTGGGCACAGCTTCGCTATTTACACATGCCCAGCACGTATTGAGCCTTGCTCACTCCTTTATTTTTTTTTTCTGGCCTCCACAGCGTTGGTGAATCGAGTCATAAACTAGTGAAACTACTGCCCACTGCGAGGACGCTCCGCCCACCGTCGGTCTCCTTGATTTCAGTTGCAGGATCATACTGGTTGCGGTATCTTCTCCCGAACACCTGTCGCTCTTGCAACACACGCGGCGTATCGCAGGAATGCGATGGAAGATTGGAGTGCGATCTGTGAGCTGGAGAGTCCTTTGATCATTTACATTTGATGTTCACTTCCTTCAACCCCTCCCCATTGCGGTGTTGATCGTTGATAATAGAGGAGTTTTTCCGAACAATCAATTCTAACAAACATGAAAACAGAAAAAAATAGGAAGAAACAATCAAAACCAATCGAAAAAGAAAGGCAGTCAACGAAAAATATGGTATCCTATCGATCAGCGGGGAGGTGGGTACAACCGAAAAAGGTTGGCCACATGCCGCAAAGCGAACATCGGAAATCGGGGAGAAGTTCCGCCACCCCCATCCCTCGCATGGGTCTCGACTCGAATGTCCGGTTAAGTCGCACCACTGTTGTAAATCTACACTACCCACAGGGTTCAAACGATAAGATTGCCGGATATTCAATATTAAAAAAACACCACTCACTAATTGACAAGAAATTTTGAGAGCCTCGCGAACGATCCGAAATATGGAATGACCTCTCCTCATGTCTATGCAATAATTAGAGCATCCACCTGAAATAACTGCCATTCTGCAGCTATTGATACATCGAAAAATTGAGTTTGTATAACTGACGAAGTAATTTTTAGGCACTACACAAATATGCGAATCGTGACTTGCAGATTCTGTGATCACCAATGAAATAAATATTGAGTGGACAAATAGGAGAACTGTTGCGTCAAAAGATCAGCTTTTAAAACAGTTCGTGAACCAATGATTTGTTTTTGTTTTTCTTATTCCTACTATCACCATCAGCATTGTTCAGCGAGCGTTTGTATGACTTGGATGAGAGGAAGCACAATGTAAAGTGAAATTGGCAATGCCCCTTCATCTAATTCATTTAGTCCTCATTGAAGTGAAACTTCAGCATGGTGAGCCTAGAGATAATTCAGGTACCGATCACTTTATAGTCAATTAGTAGATAGTAGAAAAAGTAGAACATAAGCAAGCACAAACTACATGAATTTTCAAGGTAGTACCTAAATTGAGGCTTGGAGCAGTGTGAAGGTTGACGTTTCATGTGTGAGAGACTAAGGTTTGAGTTTTGTGGGGACGAGGCTTTGCACTGTATGAAGTTTTCTCCTTGTGGCTTAGAAATTCTTTTCGCTGATTTTATCTCGTTCTACGAACTTATTAAGCTTTGGTGGCATACTTCCTATCTGAACATAAAATATCTTTTCATTTTGTTTGCATGTTTATATTGGATTGTCCGGAGAGTCTCCGCCGATTTTCGACACCCAGAGTTTATCAGCTTGTTCTACAAAAGATCAAGAACCTAAATTCATAGTAAGGGTAAGCTCTCCTCTATATCCCGGTTCAAGTTCTTTTGGCATTCCTCGAAGTCTTTCTGTATAGGGCTCGTGTGAAATTTGAGGATCTCACGTGCATTTGACGCGACTGATGCTTTTCTCCCACCGCAAGGGAAAAAATGCGGCTCAAGCCGCGAGAAAGAGTTGGTACGTTTGAATAGACAAGGTATAGGGAACGAACAGTACACGAGTGATTCGCGTAACATAACAGGGCGAATTCGCCCTCGTAGATCGGCAGAGCTCAGAGAGGCCATCATCACTTCAGAACGGCCAAATCAAAAGGTTAATCGAAACGAATCGGCAGATCACTACTCGTGGAATAGGAGTAAGACTTAATGTTTCGAAATCAGCCATCCATGGTCATTTGCTGGAACTTGGTTTTGTTAAGCGCCAGGCGTTTGAGTACCTTACGAACTGAGTGCGAGTGCAATGTGATGGACCGCGCCTCCGCGTGCGACTCGTGGTAGAACGGAATGAAAATGAGCTGCTTCTGAAAGGTATGAAAACGGGGGACAAAAACTGGGTCGCGCACAATAAAGAGGAGCGGAAACGATCGCGGAGCTTTTTCCCAGCGAGCTGTTCAAACTATTCCAAAAGTCAAGATTCAGGTGAGTAAGATTAAGCTGTGTTGCTGATGAGGCTGGAGGGGAATCATTCACTATGAGCTGTTTGCCGCGTGGTCGAACGATGGCTTTGGAGAGCTGCTATACTCTGCTGAACAGTTTATAGGCAGAGATAGACCAGAAGCGCCCGGAACTGCCCAATCGTAAGAGTGTTGTCCTCTAACAGGATAACTCCAGACCACACGTATTTTTGGTCACTCGTCAAAAATTGCTGGAGCTTGGGTGAGATGTCTTACCACACCCACCGTATAGTATAGACAGCACCATCACACTACCACTTCTTTGGGTTTCTGCAGAATCTTCTGAATGAAAAATCGTTCAATCTACTAGAGGACTGAAAAAACCACTCGAGAGGGTATTTCGATACTAATCGTAAGTCCACAACCTTCTATGAAAGTGGTACAATGAAAGCGATAGAAAAGTGGCGATGTTGAGGCGGGAAGACTCCTAAACCACCGAGTTCTTGATAATGCGTGAGGAAGAATATGTGTAGCGCGTGACTTGATCGGCGTCAACTATGGTTGGCGCGAAGACGTTTAGGCGGGAACGGAAGCTATAAAAATCCGATACCCTAGATTCGAGTTAAGTGACGGATCCGACTACAAGGGCTCCTCCGCATCCCGCATGCCCTTCTTTCTCTTTTTTTAGGTTCTCGCGTGTTCGCCGTTGCGGCATCGATTTTTTTGTGTATTGTTTGTTGCTGTTAGTAACATAGTTTTCTTGTATATTTGCCAATAAACACTGATTGTGCTTAGTGTTCGCCCATTGTGTTCAGCCGTTAACCGCGGTAGACAATTCTTGCGCAACTGTGATCCATCACTGAATAATGGAAGATACGTAGTTTAATGAATGGATTTGATCTTCCAAAAATTTTTTTTCAAAATAATTCAAAAATCGGCGGAAAGTTCCCGCACAATTCAACACATTCTATATCCAAATTGAGGCAAAGGTGGTGTAGTGGCAAGTGAAGAGGTGCCCTATCACACATGAATGGTCCAGGACTCCGATTCCGGATCCACACATATGCCAGGTCAACCAAGCTTTCCATCCCTTTGAGAAGGGTTGACCGGTTCCAGACTCGTTTGGGTGGATATACCAGGCACTCGCTTGTATATTGGTTGCCTTTCTTTTGAGGAAGATGGCTTAATGGCTTTTCAGAGAAGTTGGCTTAATGGCTTCGTGAACTCTGAATGATGCCTGCCCACGAGTCCACTGACAACAATTTCATTCTTGGAGGGTCCGAACTTGCTACGCGTCATCGTACCAGCTTTAAAACCACGAGTAACTTTTGATCTGAGTGGTCATAAGCGAAAAGGCAAGGCACAATTGCGAGAGAGTGTTTAGCTGGAGAGAGCAACCGCACTACCTCATCTGATTCCTTCGAGCTTCTTGGGGTTAGAGGGAAAGTGTGCATATCGCTCAGAAATCTTAGACATCCCAGAAATCTAAATGTGAAGCATAAAATAGATAAAGCCTCCACGTTAATCGATTCAATCTCTGAGGTACTCTAGGGGAGATAGTATCTCAAAGATTGAATAGATTAACGCCGGAGACTTTCTTTTTCAATCTTGATATTCATCAGTTTTTGGGATTTATGAGCGATATGCACACTCTGCCTTTGACCACAACAGCTCGAAGGAATCAGATGACGTGCCTCACTGTGAATATAGAATGTACAGACATGCTTGAAAATTTAAAAAGACCCTGCATGTTTAGGTAGGAGATATGTCACCGAAAGCTTTTAAAGTTCGTAGAACGCGATAAAACCAACATAAAAAAGAATTTCTGGGCTGCATGGGAAAACCACATATGATGCAAAAATCTCGTCTCCGACAAAACCCGAACCATAGTCTTTCGCACATGAAGCGTCATCCCTAAGATCTCCTGCTTTTCGTGAGAGCTTGGGTAATACCCCTCCTCTTTCGACTTCAGTCGTTTCACCTGCCATCATTATTCCCGTACTGCCACCTGTACTCCTTACAATCTGAACGATCCAGGCCAAACTTAACAATTTTTGCGCACCCCCAGCACCCCCCACTGAAATTCCACTTCCGCCATGAAGCATCAGTGTTTTCATCCTGTTGCCTGTACTCCTACCGAGTTTAAACTATCTAAGCCTGCGGGAACAGGAGTTATGAGTTTCCAGTCAAAGATACACCGACACACACATACCGATACACGCACACGCATACCGACACACACGCATCAACACACATTGACACACAAAAAGAGCAGTGAGTAACAGTCCCATAACGAGTAGTAAAATCGAAACTGGTCAAAATCGATTGCCATCATCGATCACTGCGTTTACAGTCATATTCCCTTCGTATTTTTCCAAGTTCCCAAGAGTTTTGAACGCTCTAGCTTGAGAGAACAGTTTTACGCATGCTCAACCTTCAGTGGAGAGTCTCTAGACCTGTCACCTGCCACTAGTGTTCCCATCATGCCGTCTATATCCTTTCTCAGTTTAAACGATCTATTCCTAAGTAGCGATCTTCGTGCATGCCCCGTCCTTAGTGGACGTTCTCTAGCCCTGCCAACTAGGGCTAGAGAACGTCCACTTTCAGGGCTGCCCTCTTGCCGCCTGTTCTACCAAATTTGAACGGTTTTGTTTAGCTGGACAGGGACAATTCTTCTATATATAAAGCGCTCGCGTCTGTCTGTTTGTCTGTTTGTACGTTAAAATTCGATACTACCTGAAGAAGCACGTGCAGAAGACGGGTCAAGTTCGGTATGGGTAGGGCACAGAACAAGACCAACAGAGCAAATATGAGCTCACGGAGCTCCGCCCCCGAGGGGCGAAGCATGCGCCGAAATTGGGCGGGGCCATGGGCAAGATTTTCACATTCGGTCTCATAACAGTCCAGACGCTGTGCAGAGGTTGGGACATACATACATACATACATACATACATACATACATACATACATACATACATACATACATACATACATACATACATACATACATACATATATAAATTTGATTATATATAGTAATATGGATTAAATACAGTAATGTGGCAATGATAATATTAAAGTTTGGAATTCATTGTATCGACGTTAGCTCAGCTGATTCCGACAGAGAAGTCAGCAACCAATCAATTGAGAATGGTTACCCAAGGGGCGAGTGGGTGGCGATGCAAAGAACCCTGTTTGGATCCTAAGTTCCTTTCCTGTGGCTCCTCTCACCAGCCGTCCAAGTTCCCGGCACGTCCCTGCCGTCGGTGGGCACGGGCGCAGCCCGCTGCGATTTCGAGGTGGACACATTTAAAGAGTACAGTGTGTACATTCGTGCGGTGCGAGCTGCGCGCGGCAAATTGCGCGGCGAAATTTATAGCGATTCTGAGACTTTAGCGCCAATTATTGGAACCCAAATTTGAAGCAGAGTAGATTAGTAGAATGAGTTGGCCATACTTATCTACTCTACTTCAAGTTTGTGCACCAATAATAGGCGTCAGAGTCGTTCGAATCGCCACGAATTTCGCCGAGCAATTTGCCGCGTGCAGCTCGAATCGCACGAATGTACCGTCCGCGTAGTGGGGCACTAGGAGGTTACTGTATCACACGTTCACGAGACGTTAAGATTTCTCTATTCGCATTTAACGTTGCAGGGGTTTCGCGATTTGAATTACTTTATCGCGCACTAACGTTTGAATACAACACCGGTGCTGCAGCGGCTCTGCACATTTCTAGTTGAAAATCTTAAACTCATCGCCCTACTGCCCCATTATCTAGTTCCTCTATTTCCCACATGTGAAAAAGAAAAAAAAACTCATCAAGCCTTATCCTAATTCCACTTTGCTTCTTCTACAAGCGCTCATTNTGCGCCGCGCGCGACGTGTACGGTGTGACCTACTCTCATCGACGATAGCATCGGACGTTTCCCGCACACATGAAATCAGGAATGCCACTAATGTCATAGCATCAAAGGATTTCAGTTCTTCGAGTATGCACTACACCAATTCCAACGATGTGCGTGAAACTATTCGCCTGGCACTGCGAACGGCTATAGTTGATGATTTCCTTTGTCTTTGAAGGCAGAACGTCCCAGTAACCTATATGTGCCGAGAGAGTTTATGCAAATAACTTCATCGGAACACTGTCAAATCGTCAAAAATTCTAAAGGCAGCCGTTAAAATACTGAAAGCTCACAAAAAATGATTAAGCCCGTTGTAAATTGAAGGGCGCAGAGAAGGGGGTAGCAATCGGTGGGCAATGTGCAGGCGAACCGCCGTTCGCCGCCGTTTTGCGGCGGTCCTACAGCGCAATGGTCAATGCGTGATTCCAGTTGCTGTTGTGAGGTGCATGACGAACCCTGTCCCTTTGCACTGGCTCCGTGTATGACAATTCGTTGATCTACTGGATCAACCCTGGACCTTCCCAGTCCATTATTAGATTAGGTGAATGTATTGAAAAAAGCGTTTCGCGTTGGAATAAACAAACGGTTAGTAGGCGCTTATGGATCAATAACTATCAATATTTGAAGGGTGTCATCACAAGGTCATATTATATTAGCATCAGTAGTGTTTCACTTTAATACAGCTTGCTTTTAGTGCTTTTCCAGGATGTTGTAGAATGCCAGTGGATCACTCTTCGATGAAATACTGGTGGTAAGTCAAAAATCCATTCGTCAAACATAGTTCAATGTGCAACTTAAAAATTTTCATTTTTCTAAATATTAAATTAATGAAAAGATGAATATCAGTCGAGTCTGGGACCGTAGCTGTTTTTTCGTTTATTTTTGTCCATTTATTTTTTTATCTTTTTTCCCACGACTATGTGTAGCATGGCAAATGCAGCTCGGTTAACGTGAAATTGGCTTGCTTGGGACACTTTTGATAGAGGATTATCCCCATTTTCTCCAAACCTACCAATGTTTTCATCCTATCATAAAATTTTTTTTGTTTGCTGCTTAGTTTTGTACAGATGCAAGGAAATGTGTAAAAATGGATGAACGAAAAACAACCTTAACCTCCAGTTATTGTGATTGTGTGATTGTTAGATTCAGCGGGAACGTTGCTTGTATGATTTCTCGATTTGACCGTTTTGTATCAAACAGTAATGATCGATCTTTTTTGATAGCCAGGTTTGCGGAGCAGAGATGTGGCTGACGATCTGGATATCGTGAGCGCGGTTGCTAAGTGAACGTTGTGCATGTATGTTGAACACATGAAAGCAAAATCGATTGGCTGCCTCGTGTTCAATGCACATTTATTTATTTATTTACTTATTTGTTTATCTATTCATATTCATATATTCATTCTTTCGATGTGAAATACTGCGTGAAACCTGGCCATACCCGTTATATTCAATATCAACTCCTTTATTATAGACAATGTCTTGCTTATATATAAAGTACATAAGCTATCGTTAGGTTGCTCATGGCTTTGGACAGTTCTTCAAGTCCTTTGAGGTAAGGGGATCCATGTTTCGTGGGGCTTTCTTTGAATAAAACAGTTTTTTGATACATGATGCACAGCCGTACTGCCTGCTGTTTACGCTCCCTCGCGAATTCCTTCAAGTCCTGTGAGGTAAGGGAATCCATGTTTCATGGGACTTTCTTTGAATAAAATAGTTTTTTGATACATGATGCACAGCCGTACTGCCTGCTGTTTACGCTCCCTCGCGAATTCGCGTCGTCGGTTTTTTCACAGCAGGATGCTCAACTAAAAGGAACCCGAACCATTAATAAATGAACACTTTGAGTCCCCTCCCTCCTCTCCTCACTCGTTTTTTTACGATAATGAAATCAACTGAAGTAGCTAAATTCTCTTTTCTACTCTGTTTTCTGTTCTTCGAGTCGTTAGTCATCGACAGGGCTGTCGTGTGTTGTTGAAAAGGCTGCTCTCTCACCTCGCAGCACCTTAACTAATCCTTGACTCTGAGCCCCCTTCTTATCCTATTTGCGAAAGATGCTTTGTGGGGCATTTCAATGGGTAACACCAACTTAGCTCTTGAGGTTTGGCGCTTTGATTCACTAACCTAAGAAATCCTTTACAAAACTGCAACTCGGTATTTCACTTCTATTTGGTTAGACATATCGATTTACATATCTCCGCAGTGCACGTTAATAATGCAGCCTTGCATTTTGATCTTCGATGGCTGGACATTTTCTTCTCCCAAAGCTGTACATTATTGACTTCTTGTTGGAGTGCGACCTTCTTTCAATGCGAGCGCATCATTTGCCTAACCTCAGTGTTTTATATTCTTCTGATTTCTCAGATGGGAACGTTCACGTTACCTTACTTCATACGAACAGCAATTTGGGATAAAAAAGGCTACTGGATCGCGTTCTTCCCTCTCGCATATATCGGTCGCTGCTGGGAAAATGCTGGCTACGCGAAAGTAGAAATGATGAAGGTAAACATTCATTTGATTATGGTTAATCTGTAAAGGTACCGCAGATATGTTTTAGAAGAAGTTTTTGATTCATGGTATTTTCAGGGTCGTTCAAAGATGTATGCCGACAGGATTCGATCCCTTCCAAAAAATGCAGATCCATGGAAGTACTAGGGAAAAAGATATTGTGTAGTGTTGTTCAAATAGTATTTTGCAATAGTAAACGATTCGACAGGATTTGTGCTTAGAATTTGGACGGTTTTGACCGAAGATATTTATTGAAACTCACTCTGTAATTGTACGTTTTTGTGGAAGCTTTGGAAATGCCTTTCTTTTAACAGGGAGAAATAGTTTCGTGCTGTATTGAAAGGTAATGTTAGTGAATCGAGGTCCTCCTTTGGGAGATGACTCGAGTAACTCCAATGATGACGATATGGGAGAAGAGGCGAGTATTTGAATGTCTTGATTCCCTAAACACTCAAGTAATCTACGTTGTTCAGATGTCTAGCCGGGGATTTTCGGAAGAGAGTTGGTGCAGCGATGCGATGAAATCTGCAACAACGTACGAAGTGTGTTGCTTTTCCTACTTGCTAAGAT